GTGTCTGGGCTAAATTTTGGTATTGAAAAATGTTTTCTCATTTTTGGTACTTATCCCCTTTTTTATGTGTCAGCACCCCCTTGTCTTAAAATGTAGATGAGAAAATGTTAAAATTAGTCTCTTTGTTGTTAAATTGTTGTAAATGGGGAGATTACATTACAAATAGTAATGTAACTTCTTAAGTGTCAACCTTGTTCCAAATCTCACAGTATGTAGAGCTATAAAGAATATCAAAACTAAAAGAAAAGTATCTGAGTACTTCTCGTCTTTTGAAGCAAGGTACGCCCTACTGTAGATGGGAGGCCAATCGGCTGCATTGGTGACGTATTGTTTAAGCTAAGTAAAGATGTAAGGGTCTAAGAGTGCATGTGAAGTATGTTTTTGCACAACTCTAATCCTATCGTTGCTATACAGTATATTAGCACAAACTGCAGTTTTCCTTTGAAAAAAAGAAAATTAAAGATTTGTTCTAATGAGCGAATAGCGCACTAGTATATACGACAGGTGTTGCATTGTCTTGGCAAATGAAACTGAATCTTGCAAAGCAATCTGTGCCCAAGGTGCTTAGAATGCTCAAATGTATGCCATATGTTTTACCTGCTGCATCTCCAGTTGTTATAGAAATGACCTAAAATAAAAGGTTTAGCCTCCTACCAATTTATTAAGAGTTATACAGCTGTCCCTGGCTGGTTGCTTAGAAATCCAATTATAATAGACTATTAGAATATAGGCTCTTGAATGCAATTTATTGAGCATAGTAGTATCTATCACTGTAAGAGTAAATCCTCACCATCACACATGTATATTAAAATAACATTTACAGTCCTTTTACTATTAAAAACAATAAGTTAAATGGGGTACCTTATCACTATTAGCATTAAACTATGAGTTTAGCTTAAATTTAGCTTAGCTTTACCTTCGCTTCTTTACAGAAAACAGCTGGATGAGACTTTTTAATATTTTGGATTAAGTAGTTACTAGCAACCAGACAAGCAAGTACTGTAATCTTTCTTTTTCTTTGTTCTTACATATTAAATAGTCTGTACAGAGAGCAGAGATTATCTATTTTTTTCAGTATCCTACAAATAAAAGCTCTGTAATCTTATAGAAAAGTTGGAAGAAGTAGAGAAAGAATTGTGCATAAAATATAAGGAACATGATTTGGAAAAATTATCTGCTGATAAAACATTAGATAATAAAAAAACTTGGAGGCACAGTGGTTAACATTGCTGCCCAACAGTGCTGGAGCCCTGGGCTTGTTCCTCCCAGTCCCACATGGTCCAAAGACACGCTGGGAAGTCAGTTGGCTCATGGGAATTTGGTATGTGTCTGTGCGGGACTGGTGTCCAATCCAGTGTGTCCTGCCTTGGGCCTGTTACTTGCCAGGAAAGGCTCCAGCTCCCCTGTGACCATATAATGGATAAAGCAGTTAGAAAATGGATGAATGGATTTTATCCACATGCATTGCTTTTGGATGGATATAATACACCTCATTTATTAAGTGCAATTTTTTTGGTCTGAATATAATCAATTATTTCAGAGTTTGTGTATGTTGGTTGATGGTGAAAAACAACAAATGTTACTGGTTCCAATACTGATCTGTTGCATTTATGTCACTTCTCAGCATATAAGCATTCACAGCAGTCAATCAGATTTTTTGCATTTGTTTGTAGCAATGTTTATAGCAAAAGGAGTATACTTACTAATACTTCCCTTGACCGCCCTCAACAACCATCCAGACCAGGCACTTTCCCTTGCAACAGAGCTCGCTGTATCACCTGCAAGTACACAGCCACCACCACACTCATTCAAGGCCCCTCAGGACAATTCCGGATCACCCAGACAGCATCTTGTACCTCCTTATTTACTGTAGCTCTTGCAATAAATGCCCAGCCATCTACATTGGAGAAACAGGAAGGAGACTCAGAGACTCAGAGACCGCTTCAGAGAACACGTCAGGGCTGTGCAGATTAAAGATCTCTCCAAGACCATTGTTTCTCATTTAACCTCTGACGGCCATGACCACTCTAATCTCTCCGCCTGTGCTCTCAAAGACGGTTTTCCGAACTCGTACATCAGAAAGACCACCGAAACCAAAATTATTCTGCAGCTAGGATCACACAACGACAGACTACTGTTCTTTTAAATTTTTTCCATTCATTGGAAGTTTCATTTCACACCTCTCTATACCTATTCTGACTCCAACGTTCCAACGTTGTGTTCTCTTTCTTCTTTTTTTCAGCATGGAATAAACCTATTACTTGTTCCTTTGCAGCCTACGCATGCTGACGCACCTACCCACCTGAACTACATAATAATATAGTCCTTTACTGGACCCTATTACTTGTTCCTTTACTTACTAATATTTTCTGTTCCTATTTGACAAATTAACATATTAGCACCTGTTAAGATGAATTCACCGAACTGAATCCCAGGACTTCCCTGAATACAACAAGGACTTCTTATGATTGTTTCAAGCTGTTAGTGTGTATGATGGGTGATAATTTTCTCCTTCACTCTTTTCAAACTGATGAGTAAACACATCAACATCACCTTAAGGCTACATTACATCCCTGTAGAGTAAAAACCTTTCATTCCTTTGTTTTATTATTAAAACATTTATTCATTTAATGTTGGAGGGACATTTAACATTATTATTGCTTGTTGTGTTAGTCTGTTAAAATCTGGTCAAGGCTGCAAAAGGCTGGTCTTAAATAACATAAGACACTAACTGTTTACATTACAGTTCGGATTGTGAATGGGATATTGGCAGATTGTCAATGCCAGTGTTTTAAATTATTCATAAACTGCTCCTAACAATGAATATATGGTTGATTCTGAAAATCCATCATGTACTAGTGACTGATGCAATGACTGTATGTCTCAAACAGAAACTACATCCATAGTAGACATCACAAATCTACAGACTTGCCATTTTACCAGCACAAACTGAAATGCAACATCATATTGTTTTCCAGCCCCAGAAAGGCTTTATAGGGGTATTTGACCAGCAGATGAAAATCACATTAATCTTAATTGATTAAACCCATAATTTTAATTGAATAACTGTGAGACTGGTTAGAATGAGAACCAGATGACTCTAACTCTTCAGCATCAGATCTACAGCCCATACTGGATAGAGTGACAGTGTATTTTTAAAAGCATCTTAAAAACAGCATTGTTTTTAGACTCAGGTATTCACTAGTGTCTTTATTACAGTTTTCCTTGGGTGATTATTTTTCATTAAATAAAATTACACCTTTTCACAGCTGTACATGGATACTGCTGACTCAGTGCAATAAGATAGACTGACATGAAAAAGGATTAACATCACACATTATTTGACTCCAAAGAGATTGGATTCTTAAATGCTGACTTGTTTTCTTATCTGCTAATTTGAGTGATTAGAATAGCAGATTTTCTTAGTATTGTGTGCAGCTGAAACTAATTATTTTAACATTGGAATTTTAATTAGCTATATCCAAAAATTTCACATACAGCTGCAAGTTTCTTTCAGTAACTTCTTACTGTTAATTAGATATTTGTATCAAAACCTGGAGACAAAAATCTTTGCCTCTAAATATTTATCAATATTTAATCTTCACACCTTTGTGTACTTGTACTTGTAGAGAATATCTAAGTATAGAACCCTGTCCCTGTCAGTCCTGCGCCAGCACATATGACAGGTGTAGTCAGATAAGAGATGTTTAAATAAATGTTCAAATGAATTTCAATTCAAGATTTTGGAACAATCAGCTCTTTTGTGATTTAATTCATTGATCTTTGTTTCAGACAGTTATAGCATATAGTCAAGCAGATGGATGTAGTACTGATCTGCACTAGAATGGATCTGATATTTGACTATGCACACCCTATGTGAGATAGACCCAAGGGAAGTTGGTCTGTAATATCCTGGCTCAATTTAATTTTCTTTTTTACAAGCGAGTAGCCTAAAATGTCTGTGAGGGTCCATATTTATATCCCCAGACATCTGTGATTTATTAAAAACACGTCATTTTTTGAAGATACGAGGTGAAATCTGCAATATGTTTAATATGTTTAACACAATATGCTTGTGTTTTTGATCTTGTGTGATCACTTCCAATCCTCTTTTAAGATAAAACATTTCATATTTGATTATTTTACAGCGTTGTCTCAGGCTTCTACTCTTTAAATAATTACTTTGTCCTGTAAATGATGGGTTACAACACACAAATGCTAATCAATCTCCATTGTGTCCACATTAAAATATCTGTTTATATATTCACAAATGTACTTGATACTCATTAATAGATTTATTTATGCTCTACCCTACTTTCTGTGATGGACTGTGACTAATTGGACAGCCTAATTAATCTTTTAATAGCCTCTAATGAGAAGGACTAATATCCCTCAAATTAATATTTTAACATATACATGCTTGTTTTTAATTTTATTGTTTCAGATTAGTTTTACTCCAAGTTCACTTAACATGAAGAAAAACTATGGATCATCTTGACATTAGAGTTGATTTTGGAATATATTATCCAATGCGGGGTCGCAGTAGCCTGGAGCTTATCCTGGCAAGCATCTGGGACAAGGCAGGATACACCCTGGACGGGGGCACCAATCCATCACAGAATAATATGAAATGTGGGTAAAATATATAAATATATCACACTCTGTCTTTATATTTTTTATGTTTGTTTATGTTGTTTCAGATGGTAATGCAGTATTATTCCACATGGGATGTTCTTCAGGACAAGTTCCTCCCTGTTTTCAGGCCAGTTTATTTTATTCTCTAGGTCTGATTGAATTGAGATTCAGACTCTTTGGAAGCCTCAGCATTAATTTTAATTTTTCACCCTCCATCTTGCTTATTGTTGAATAAAGAGTACTTCCCATTATGTCATAGTGCTTTGAATTATTGCAATTTTTAGTTCCTGTGGGTTTAAGATATGAAAGAGTGTCAATACCACACAATAGTGAATCATGCACTGCAACTTTCTCTCCAATAGGTCTCCAAATAACATCTACTTTTCCCCAACAACTCCTAGTGCACTTCCCCCCTTCTCCCGGCAACAGTTAAAACAGATCATGCCCATAAAGTTAACAGAAGGCCTCTCATGCTTGTTAAGGTCCCACCAATCATGGATTTCCTTGTTATTATTCAAACCTGAAGCAACCCAAGGTCAGTACCATTGACATTACAAGACTTGATCATTACTTTACCAGTAAAATAACACATCAATGGGGATATGTTCGTGTACAGGTGCAGTTTTTATGTCACTGATTATGTGCCTTCCTCCTTTTTCCACACATGGCATCTGCCAGCAACGAATCTGTGATGACAGTGTGACTCAGGAATCAGGTGAGGATGAATTTATTCAGGTGTTTTTCTAAACTTTACTCATATTTCCCCCTTTAGGTAGCTCAGCCAGGGAGTCCGTACATAGACTTCACCATCAAATGGAGGAGATAACACAGCCCAGGAAACCGCACGATGTTAATCCTTTTCACTTTCTGTGCAGCGGTAGAAGTCCCCAAGCTGGTTGATTCCATTGGGCCAGTCTCACTCTTAACCATCTTCCTTCTTACCGGCGAGCCGACATTGAAACGACCGAGGCTGTTACTGGACTACCGAGCTGTGTTTTTTCCTTGCGTTTTATTAAGGATCTCACCCTGAGATCTTTTAAGAGCTCACTACCTAAAGTAGCTGTGAGGGTCTTCTTAGACAACCACTGACTTTTTCCTTCAAGCTTTTATAGGGAGTTGGCGTCCCCAGGTGCAGCCAATTTCCTAATTCCCTTGTGGAAATGCGAAATATGAATTCCTGGAACTGGCCCAATGTCGCCCTCTGGCGGTTCGAGCTGGTTATAACCCTTCCGGCTCGTTCGCTTTGCTGCCAAGTATCTTCACATTTCTACTACTTGAGAAACTGTATCTTAGATCCATCTGCCCATGGGTCTTCATTTCAGGCAGAAATGTATGCATTTTCTCATACAAGTTTATAACCCACCCATCAGGCCTATGAAATGGGTTCTTCTCAGCATGACTATGTTGTCCAGTTTCTTTTAGTCTATAATGAACTGTAAAAGCAGATGTCGCGGTTCCATTCAGTCAGATAATTTATAAAACTCTTCTGAGTTTCCTTCTAACTTTGAAACTTAAAGCATTCAGAAATTGTTTTTGAGATTTAGTGGGTTTCCTCAGGCTTTCATCTTTATGGTAATGCTTCAGGATGAGACCATGACTTTAAAAGAACATTTTCTGTTTTTTTTTTTTGACAACTTTGCAACTATGCAATGTTCATCTATAAGGTTTTATGTCTCCATAGCCATTTCTTCACTTATTTGACTTTGGAGCCAAGATTCTTATAGTCTGGAAAACTTTTACTTTAAAGCAACAGTTTGTGTTGAACCTGATTACCTTATCTGACTTGTTAGTTGTTAATTGATAAGTAATTATTTGTAAGCATTCCATTCGTTACCAATTGCTCATTAATTTTTATCCAAATAAAATTTAGCTCAAAAGCTCATTTTCTTTTGTAATTAATAAAGGATGGCTATTTGATCTATGATCTATGTTCCATGCTGACAGGAGGGCCAGAGTGTGGAGGAGGAGGTGTTGCGTTTTGTTTCCGTCAGTATATATCCTTTACAAACAAATATTGTTATGAAATGAAAATTGGACCCAGTCTTTCTGCACAGAAAAAACATCTTATAAGACAAGAAATGAAAAGCCATCTATGAAAATTGATTTCCATGCTTAGTTATCCCGTCGTTGGTAAATAATTTCTAAGCACTTTCTTTTTGCTGTACCATATATACAAGATTATTAGGCTTTGCTTTCCTTTTACTTTTACTTCTCTGTCATGGAAAGAATAAATTATAAAAGCTAAAATGAAAGGCTGGCATGCGATTTGTCGGAAAGATAATTTGTTATTGTGTGCATCCTGAAATGATGATCACAAAGGTGACCTCTGATCTCCTTGATTAACAAGAACCTTCATTTTCTTCAGCAAGCCTGCCGGCTGCCATAACGATATTTCAAACTACATGTTCAGCATAAATCGTATGCCCTTCAAAAATGCCTTTTCTAAACGCTGAGAGTAAAGAAGAAAATTGACAAAACCTGGGTTGTCCAACACCTGATTTTTTTTTAGTAGTAATGCATCATAATTCATAATTCTTTTCCACAAGATTGTGTAATTCTTGTGTTTTTTTTGGCAATATTACCACATTAACTAATTAAATTAAGCCAAATTCCCTTTTCCTCTTCATAAATACATTTATAACCCAATAGATAATTAGGGAATTATCTTTTCTCGTGTAAATTTTAATGAGATTGTGTTAATGATATACATCCATTGCCATGTAATGATAAACACATTCAACATGATTCAACACTGTTTGATGGCTAACCTTAGCAAAATGTTCTGCTGCTTAATATGCCATTTTCAAGTCTTTATAATCAATTTTTCAAAAATTAACAGAAATATGTGGGACTGTCTGCAAATAGAGAGGAGCTTTGGGTAACAGATTTTTTCTAGTTTAATAGCCTTTTTTATTATGATTTATTTTTTTCTAGTATAAAAAGTGAAATACAAAATTGAGAACCTAGACCATAGTACTAAATTGAGAACAATACGCTAGCTACTAATAATATATATATATAATTCTAAATAATATCATATTTGTAGAAAATATGCCTTTAATTTTTGATTAATTTGAGCAGATTATCCGTTTCCTAGAAAACGTCATACAGTTACAGAGCTTTATATTTTCTTAAGTGTAAGGTTTTAAAGCATATTGCATGTGTAAGGCATTAAAAGCAGTCAACGTGTATTTGTATTGAATATTGTGACAAGTTTAGCCATAAAAATACGATTTAGTTTTACTTTGTGAAGTTTTTTAGTGACTGAAAGGTCAGACTTATAATCAATGAGCTTGTAGAGATTACTTGTCTGGGGAAACATGACCTCTCTGATGATCAGTCAAAGTTTCAGCCATTTGACTGCAAAAATTTTCATTTTGTTACTTCACAGAGAGAAATGTCCTTTCTTTTTTCTCCAGCTTTGTGATTCTTTTACTTCTAGTCCCATTTGGTCTGTCTTAACAAATCCCAAAGTAAAAACTGCCTAAATGTAGAGGCAAAAACATGATTTAAAGATTAGTTCCACATTTTGAGAATTAAGCTGTCTAGTAATGGGTATGTTCCTATTTGAGTCTGGAAGAGATAATGGACTGGCGTTAACTGACTGTAAATCGGAAGGATGGGATGATCTTACCTCAGCATTTCTAGAAAGTCATCCACAAAGGTCTTAGGACATATCAAGTCTGAAGACTTGTGTTCCATACAATGAAACATTACAAAATGGGTACATTCCATCAGGTTTGAGAATGAGGACAGGACTAGAACAAATTTCATCGGCAAATTTAATCTTGTTTAGCTTCCCATTTCTCAGTACAGTGGTACATAAAAAGGGCAGTCTAGGTGCAGTCTCAATATGATCCTCAGTCATTCAGGTAATGACAGTATGTCAGTATTGTGTTGTAAGAAATGGAGGACCATCTCTCTTCATCCAGCAATTGTGGTAATACCTCCGCTGCTACTACTACAAGGACAGCCTAAGTACGGAGAGGTGAGAATTTGGTTTTGTTGTTGGATTAGAATCTTTCAGGAGATTGAAGTGGTTGATTTCTTCCTTCCTATCCCGTTTCTGCCATCCTTGATCTTAAGCATATTGCTAGGAATTCCCGGTCTTGAGAAAAGCTATAAAAGCACTTCTATGCTTATATGTTAGTACATTTTTCTCAATAAGTGGTGGTTGGACAGGATGGCACAATTTCGGTTTTTGGGCAGGTTCTACAGTACTCCTTTATCCTTTTCCACACAAAATAGTTTTTTACCACAGTACAATTTAACCCTTTAACTTCTCTGCTTTCCTGAAACCATTAAAATGCTTTTAATGATTTTGAATACTTTCTCCTAGTTTTCTCTGTGTAAGAGTAAAAAGGTTCAGTTCATTCATCCTATCAATTATAGGACATTTCCTTAAGCCCCATAATATCTCGTTGTTCTTCTCATTTTTCTTGGGGCAGGGCAGCTTCTTCAATACTCCGGCAACACTGGGTCGAGAGCCGACTATTCTTGGATTTAAATATACTTCGATTTGTTTTCCTTCATCTAGACACATCTGAACTTGACAGCTTTCAGGGGAATTAAATCTCTGTCACTTTAATGTGAATTTTTAATAAGTAATTTTAATTTTTAATTACTTTCTGCTTTGCCCTTCTCTGGAGGAGGTTCCCTGAGCATGAGGTGGCTTAGGGTGTGGTTTCCTAATTTGTTCCCGTAAAAATGCCTATGACAGGCTGAACAGAGAGGGATCAGTATTGCATTGACTCTCTTCTGTTGTTGCCAAGATTAACGGGTGTCTTTTATTGAAATGTATTAAAACTCACAGACTGGGAAAAAAACAGAGGTTTTGTCCCAAGCTGTGGACTGTCTGGCTAAACCTATCTGTGCAGCATTTCTGCTCCCCTGCATCCTCACAATGCAGGTAAAGCATGTATTTTAAGTAGACGAGGGCCCATCTTTGGCTTGTCAGGGGGCTTTAATTACCCACAGGTGTGAGGTCACAATGCCCCATAAGGACTCCCGTCTCCCCCATCTCCATGGGTTAAAGAGTGCTGTGGTTAGCATTCCTGGAGTCTGATGCACTGGGGAAACAGGGCCACGACCCTTTGCTGGCAGTACAGACAGGCATATGTCTCTGGCTAATAGTTGCCTTTCCAGAAGCAACATAACTTTATCAGCTCTCTTTGCATCTATTTGGGCAACACTTAGTCTTGGTTTTGCTGGAAAGTGACACAAATAACAATGCAATTTCAACCCTTCCAGAAATTGGGCAGATGTCTGATTTAATCAATAAAATATAATTTAATAGTAAAAATTTTACACAATGGATACTTTCTTTCTATCAGATGTTTTTGCTTTACACTATTTTTGAATACCTATAGCATAAGTAACATAACTTAATAGTTATTTATTCTGCTCATTTTCAGATTTGAGTATATTGTCTATCTTTATATAAAGCACAACTATTCAATTGACACATTATATGTATGTTTCTGATTATTATTTTATTTCCACATTGTCTGTGTTACCATTAAATAAAACAGAAGTGTGATTAAGTTTCAATAGCCATGCTAACATACATTACTGTTAATCTACATGCTTATGCACGTACATTGTAGTAAAGAACTGGATAATTGAAATAATTAAAATATTGTAATGGGATGATTGTTTAATAATTATCTTTAGATGATGGTATATTGACATCTTGTCCTGGGGAGACTGGAATACGTGTTAGAAAATTGTCAAGAAAAACTTCAAGCCCTAAATGTAATAACATTAGAAAGGTTACATATCAGAGAAGGCCATTAAGCACATCTCGTTTGATTGGCTGCTAGTAGTTGACAGGAGGATATCATCCAGGTTTCTTTCAATTTTTCTTGAAGACTGATTCAGGTACTTCCCTTTACTGTCTATCTGTCTACAATATAAAGACAGGGAGGAAAACGTCATGGGATCCAAGAGAATAATACAAGAAAACAATAATATTTAATAGTTAAGAATCGGAAAAACAAAGTGCAAGACAGCTTGGGTTCAAATGTGACAACTGCTCAGGATGTTGGTGGTGTCTGGCCTGAAGCTGGAGTTTGCCTGTTACAGGCTCTCTCATCAGATTGTTTCAGGAGGTGTGGGCAGAGGAGAAGGAGCTTTGTACAGTGAAGACAGAAAATGAGTTATATTGACAGGTCACTTTTGGGCGATGTTTTTTTTTAATCTGTGTTACTATTTATTTTGTGTGGGTGGGGTTTTTGTTTGTGCTGATTTGTTTTGTGTTTTAGTAGAATAATGGCCTTTTTGAAACCTCAAACCTTTTACTGATGCTTAGCCAGCTGTTTGGGTAGTATGAAAACTAAGTGCACATTCAACAAATCTTTCTTATTATGGTAAACATTCATTTGCTGAAGGCACAACCAGAGCAGTCAGCTGTAGTCAATCGCTTGCAGCAATCTTAAAGAATGTGCTGAATCCAGCAGTTTGTGATGCAGCAAGAGCAGACATATTGATTGTAATTGAATCTGACATTTGTGTCTTGTAATATTTCATTAAAACAAATATGTTAAAAAAGGTTTATACATTGTTTTATAAACTGGGTCTGACTTTGCAAAGCTCTATTTTTTATTCACATTGCTTCAATTGATAGTTTGGTTGGTATTTTGTTTGCGCCAGTTTCCTTTTTAATTTACAATATTTTATTTATTGAACTTAACATAAACCATTCATTGCTGCTTCTGATTTCGTTACTCTCAACAAACATTGTCTGTTGCTTTTTGGGTTGTTTGAATTTTGTGTATTTTATGTCTGAATTAAAGGTCCATCTATGTGTTAATCCTATTTGCATATGTGGGTTAAATTTGTTTTATAAGGCACAGGGGTAGTTTTTCATTTGAAATTAATCTCCTTAAATCTCCTAAACACCTCAAACAATTTTCACTATTAGCTTTCTTTTTGAAAATACAATTTCATTTTTCATGTAATGACAATTGTTCAAACATATTACAGTACAGTTTAAGGTGTGATTTAAGAACCAAGGGTATGATTATGAATAAGATTTTCCTCGAATCACACAGCTACAGGACACAGCTTTAAATTGCTCCCAACTTTGACTTATGTGCAAGAATGGAGAAAGAAGGTGTAAGGTAGTTCAAACACCTGTAACATTGTATTTGGACAAAGAACTAATTCAATT